CCCTTCTTCCTCCTACCGCCCGAGAAAAAGAGAGGGGCGGCGGCTCCCTCCTCTCCACATTCCACTCCTTCGGTCTTCTTTGTTTCTTCGTCACTTTTGCAAATCGAGATGCCTCCGCGAAGAGAGAAGTAAGCTCTTTCGATCTCTCCAATTAGTTTAGTCAAATAGCTCTAGTTTTGATGAGTTTTTTGGCACTAGGTGAACCCTAGTTCATCTTGTACTCCCTCCATTCCTAAATATAAGTACTTTTAGAGATTTCAGTACGGATTCCATAGCCGCATTCTAGATTTATAGATTCATTCAGTTTGCTCTGTATGTATTCTATATTGCAATTTCTAAAAAGTCTTATATTTATGAACGGAGGGAGTCGTTTTGAGATTTGAATGAATGGATGGATGGATGGATATATGGATGTGGATGAATGGATGGATATATGTTGGAGGTGGATATATGTTGGATGTGTGGATGAATGAATGGATATAGGTGAACCCTAATTCATCTAGTTTTAAAATTTTGTAACTAAATTTAATTAGAATTGATGTGTGTATCAATGGATGGATATAGATGTCTGGATGAACCCTAGTTGATCTTGTGGTATTGCTATATTTAAAATGAATTCATATGCATACACTACTGGAATTACACACTACGCCGAGTGCCAGAAAGACTCGGCAAAGGGCCAAAAACACTCGGCAAATCTTTGTCGAGCATTGTTCTCGGCAAAGATCACCCGACATACACCCCTCAGGCAAGCAGAACTTTGTCGAGAACCAACCCTCAGGCACTCGGCAAACAGTTTGCCGAGAGCCAAACTGTACCCCTCAGCAAAATAAATCCGACTCACAAATGACAGATGGAGACGGTGATGGCCACGTGGCGCAGCTTTACCGAGAGCCAATCTCGGCAAAGCTAAATAGTAGCAAACTGCCATGTGTCCACGACCTGACAGCCGAGTCTCACGCCCTACTCTTGGCAAAGCTAAAGAATTGCAAACTGCCATGTGTCTACCACCTGACAGGTGGGTCCCATGTTGTACGTTGAGCTGCTGCTTTGCCGAGAACTACTCTTGGCAAAGCTAACGAGTAGCAAACTACCACGTGTCCACCACCTGATAGGTGGGTCCCATGTTGTACGCCGAGCCGCTGCTTTGGCAAGACCTACTCTCGGTACGTGTCCACCACCTAAGTGGAGGGTCCCATGTCTTGTGTCGAGCCGGTGCGTTGCCGAGTGCCTTCTCAGCAAAGCTAACGTATAGCAAATAACCACGTGTCAACCACCTCACAGGGCGAGCCCGTGTTTTGCCGAGAGCTCCTGTCAGGAAAGTTTACTTAGTTTGCCGAGAGCATGGATGCTCTCGGCAAAGATGTCAGGCTCTACAGGTCAGCACATTTTGCCGAGAGCTTGACTCGGCAAGCTTAGAAGCATGCTTTAGTTCAAGAGGCTTTACCGAAGGAGCTCTCGGGATAACATATGTTACCGAGTGTGACCGTCCAACAACATTTTTCCCTTATTTTTGGTTTATCTCAGCAAAACATATACAACAGCAGCATATAGCGCATCCCACATAGCACATCCCATATATAAGCGACATCGCACATAAATGCAATAATTCTCAAGCACCTACCACATAGAAGCAATAGTGCATAAAAGGTGCAATAGTTGTCAAGCACACTTCACTACTACAAGTTCATAGGTCTCAAGCACACACAACATGCAATAGTTCTCAAGCACATACAAGGAAGAGCTCAATGATCAACATAACATGACATTCATGCGGTTTTGGACATCAGAGTGGGCACATCAATATCAGAAGGCATCATTTCGTTTGCTTCCCTGCTACTAGTGAACTGCGTTGGGATTTCCCCGAAGAGGACATGAGGTGCGGTACAGTGGAGATAAGTATTTCCCACTGTTAAGAACCAAGATTATCAATCCAGTAGGAGAACTAAGCAACACCTCGTCAACAACACATGCACACAAAATAATAAATACTTGCACCCAAAGCGAACAAGGGGTTGTCAATCCCTCGGCGGTTAATTGCATGGATCAAATCTTATATAGGTAGATGGATAAATAAAACACAAAATAAAATAAAGCAAAGGAAATTGCAACAAAGTATTTTTATTTTTAATATATGATGAAAATAAACCCGGGGGCCGTTTTCACTAGAGGCTTCTCTCTTGAAAATAGCATACAGTGAATAAACAAATTATTGTTGGACAATTGATAGAAAAGCAAATAATCATGACGATATCCAAAGCAATGATCATGTATATAGGCATCACGTCTAAGGCAAGTAGATTGAAATGATTCTTCATCTGCTACTATTACTCCACACATCGACTGCTATCAAGTATGCATCTAGAGTATTAAGTTCATAAAGAACGGAGTAACGCCTTAAGTAAGATCACATGATGTAGATAAAGTAAACTCATGCATTAATAAAGCCCATCTTTTAATCCTTAATAGCAACGATACAATATGTGTCATGTCCCCTTCTATCACTGGGATTGAGCACCACAAGATCGAACCCATTACAGAGCACATCTCCCATTGTAAGAAAAATAAATCTAGTTGGCTAAACCAAATCAATAGATCAGAGAGAAATACGAAGCTATAATAATCATGCATAAAAGAGTTCAGAGAAGACTCAAATAATATTCATGGATAATCTGATCATAAACTCACAATTCATCGGATCTCAACAAATACACCGCGAAAAGTGATTACATCGAATAGATCTCCAAGAACATCTAGGAGAACATTGTATTGAAAATCAAAGAGAGAGAAGAAGCCATCTAGCTACTAGCTATGGACCCGTAGGTCCGAGGTAAACTACTCACACATCATCAGAAGGGCTTCAAGGTTGATGTAGAGCCCCTCCGTGATCGGTTCCACCTCCGGCAGAGTACCGGAGAAGGTCTCCACATGGGATGTCACGAGCTTGCGGCGGCGGAAAAAGTATTTCGCGTGGCTCTTTGATATCAGGGGATTTATTTGAGAATTTATAGAGGCGGAGTTTGGTCAAGAGGTGCCACGAGGGGCCCACAAGCCTGCCCCCCCCCCACGGGGGCGCGTCTCCTGAGCTTGTCGCTCACTCGTGACTCTCCAGGTCTTTTCCTGAACCTTCTAGGGTCTCTTTTGGTCCAGAAAAAATTAATCCAAAGCTTTTTCTTGTTTTGGACTCTGTTTGATATTGATTTCTCGAAAATGTCAAAAACAAGCAAAAAAGCAGCAACCGTCACTAGGCACTAAGTTAATAGGTTAGTCCCAAAAAATGATATGTAATTGCATAAAGTTGCATATAAAACATCCAAGATTGGTACTATAATAGCATGAAACAATCAAAAATTATAGATACGTTGGAGACGTATGATTCCCCAACCCCAACAACTTGAAGTGGAATTACCGGAACATTGTTCGACCCTTGTGATGGATTGAGTTGTAAGAATTTTGAGACAATAAGATGAATGCATATGGTAATGCTGAAAATGATGATAGAAATAGTTCGAACGGAACTCACAATGTTCCACCCTTGCGCCGCTGGCATGTTTGGCACTGGTTTACCGTGCATGGAATAAAGATTAGCCATCATATGTTGTTGATACGTTCATTTTGCATCATGCTTTTATATCAATATTTATTGCATTATGGACTATTATTATACATTATATCTCAATACTTATGGCTATTCTCTCTTATTTTACAAGGTTTACCATGAAGAGGGGGGATGCCAGCAGCTAGAATTCTGGCTGGAAAAGGAGCAAACATTGGAAACCTATTCTGCACAACTCCAAAAGACCTGAGACTCCACGAAACAACTTTTTGGATTTATTAAGGAATTATGAGCAAAAGAAATAGGCCAGGGGGCCCACACCCTGTCCAGGAGACAGGGGCGCTCCCCTATCTCCTGGGCCCCCTGGTGGGCCTCCGACGTCCATCTTCTGCTATATGAAAGGTTTTGTCCTGGAAAAATTCATGGGCAAGCTTACGAGACGAAACTCCGCCGCCACGAGGCAGAACCTTGGCGGAATCAATCTAGGGCTCTGGCGGAGCTGTTCTGCCGGGGACACTTCCCTCCGGGAGGGGGGAATCAT